GAGCTGACTGTGGATGGGGCCAGGGTGTTAGCACAGCTGGTGATGAGAAATGATCAGATCCTGGTCTCTGTGGAGGGCACAGTCAGCATCTACAAAGGGTGGTGTCACAATACGGCCCCGTGGATATGCCCAGCTCCGAAACTCAGACTGAATCAGGAAGTGCTGTGTGAACCTTGAACTCAAGCCACTCAGGCAACTCCCAACCCCACTCGAAGTGAACCAGGTTAAAATAATGACTAGAAGGGCCCGCACCAACTCCCCCTCATTTTCTGATGAGTTCTCCCTCATTTCACTTGTTCTAACTCCAGGAATTTCATTCTTTAAAGTCTCTGCACCTGCTAATTCCTCTGCCAGGAACCTTTTCTTCCAAACAGTGACAATTACTCCCAACCCAGTTTCACTTTGGGCCTTTGTTCAAGTATCACATCTAATAGAAAATGAGCATTCAAACTGCAAAATCACCTCACCCTCTGCAAATGAATTGTCAATAAAATAGCACCTGTCCTTGAGAGAAGACAAGGGACAACCTGCCGTTGGGACAACCACACCATCACACACAGTCAGTCACCTTCAGAGCTGGCCAGATTGGGATGTTGGCACAGGGAGACAGGAGAGGGGGTGGAAGGGTGCCCAACAGGGAGGGGGCCTCAGCACTGGACAAAGCATGTCCCTAAATCCATCAGCCTTTGTTTCTTCCAAAGCCACCCCTCTTTGCAGCTCCCCTGGAGAGCTGCAGAGCCCTCCCCAGGTTACCCCGCAGCGCCACAAAGTAGCCCATGAGATATCGGCACAGCCTCAACCAAAACTGCAGGTGGGATGCCTTGTAACACAATGCAGGCTTTATCTACATTTGTCTCTCACTAGCTTCAAAATGCCTGGTTACCTCAACACCCACACTGTGGGTATGGACTCCTCTTGGGAGAATCTGTGACTGCGTACCTGGGGGATAGAGAGCCCTGGAAAGCCAGCTCAGAGTCCTTGGGCTCTCCCTTCCGTGATGTTGAGTCTCAGCTGGAGACCAACCTGGGGCATTTAGGATGCAGCCTCTCAAAGAGGCTGTGCGCACGCGCATGGGGACACACACACACACACACACACACACACACACACACACACAACCTGTAGTGCCCTCAGTGCATCACCGGGTCAAGGTGGGGTCCACCTGCAACTACTCCCTGTTAATGGAGTGGATTGAACGAGACTTGACTCTCCTGTCTGTGAAGTCAGTAGATGTTTCTTCCGGAAAGAACTGTGCTACCCCATGCAGCTCTGCGTAGGTGGGAAGGTGGGGAGACAAGGCACGTGTCTCAGCGGGGGGGTCTAGCAGTGGTGATCAGGACATGAGGGACCTGAAGCAGGTGATAGGGAGGTCAGGACAGAGCTACCACCGCCTGGGGATGCCTGGGCTGGCTACATGGAGCCCACATTGAATGAATGTCCCCAACAAGGAGGATCCCAAAATAGTCAGCTCCACTCCCCCTAGCTTGGGGGAGTCATGAAACCTGTGAGCAAACAAACCAGTCAGTGGCTCATCACCCAGAAGGCCAAATTTGTAGTCAGTATTTGTCTTTTCACAGAAGAGCTGATTCAAGGTGGCCACCAAGGCACTCAGTGGGATTGGGAACCTGACTCCCAGCTCCCCAAGTGCCAGGAGTCTATGATTATATAAGGGGGCAGGGAGGGAGGAGGTGCAGAATGTGAAGTGGGGAGGTGCGCAGAAGGGAGGGGGTTCAGGATGTGAAGTGGGGAGCTGCACATTTCCAGGTCAGAGGTTGGCTGGGCTGTCCAGGTGGGGATTGGGGTTTGACACTCTCAGCAGGGAGTTTCTCCTCAGGGTCAAGATCAGGCAACAGTCAGGAGTTATTTGTTTTTGATATTCTCACAACCTCCAAGGAGCAAAGAGCTTTTTCTTAGAGGCGTAACACAATCAGCTTTATGAGGCCCAGGAAATGTCGTTGAAAAGAAATGTATTAGTTGCAAGTTGAAGCATAAATCACAAGGAGGTATTAGAGGGGAAAGAGAACAAAGATTGCTTAAAGTTTAGTTCATTGAGTCCCAGGATTTGCTTTAGAGAGGTTTCTGTTACAAATGGAGGTGATCCAGTTACAGCCTGACCTCAAATCACATGGGCCTAACGTTCCACAATCTAATCATCACAGTATTGGACAAAAGGGCCAGGGTGTGCAGGGAGTTGGTATCAGAAGTCACTGTTTAAGGACAATGGCCCTAGATGGATGAAGAGAGAGAATCCATACATAAAGTCCAAGATTTTAGAAAATCACAAGATGGGATGGAGTCCAGGTCAACCAACCAATAGGTTCAGAGCCCAGGTTAGCTATTCACCCTCCAAATCTTAGGCTGTGACCTTATGCTCAGAAGACATAATATTCACAACAGAGTTTTCAAAGGAAGAAAAAAAGGTCTCCCTTAAAGTGATGCGCGAGGGGGGGAAAAAGCAAGCTCTCCTACCCCTACCCACTGTCTTTGTTCATACACAGTGTTCGGACAGAGCACCCATGTTGGTAATGAGTAATATGGAAAATGAAAAAAAAAAAAGACAGCAGAGATTCCGTGCAGACACACTAAAGTGGAGAGAGTGAAATATCCAATTTGAATAGATCACACAGCACAACACGATGCGACAAAAACACGGTACATCATCATTGTTTTCTGGACTAGAATAATTTTATGAGATATTACTTCACATGGAAATGCATCAACAATGTGAAGATGAACTAATAGAATTACATGCGAAGGGAGATTGCAAAGCTGAGGAAACAAGATGAAGATCAAACATCCCAACCTCTAAACTGAGTAATGATCACTGAGAGCTGAACAAGACCTGTGATGACTCAGAAAGACGATGAAAAAGCAAAGGTGTAGACATGGGACAAGATGAAACAGACATATGGAAGACCCTAAATGAAGAAAAGCTGGTGCGATACGGAGAGGATGGAAAATAGAATCCAGAACATGTTCTCTTAGGTGAGGATTTTTCTTGAAATGAAAGCACCGGCTCACAGCTCAAAACACATGGTGTTCCAGGAAAAGTCACAGCCCGTGGTTGACACACAGGCACAGCTTGGGAGAAGTGTGTGATATCAGGGGTGAAGAAAGAACTCTCTAGGCAGGCATTGGCAAAAGGAAATTCATTTGAAGAAGGAAGAACACTTGAGTGACTTGGTCTTTCATAGTACCCATCAGCACCTGGACACGTTTGCATGTCACAGAAGACTGAGGAAGAGGAGGCACTACCTAAGAAAGTCACCTCGCCCCAAGGTGTGTGTCCCTAGAAAGACAAAAGGCCACGACCTAGGGTGAAGGCTCTCAGGGAATGAGCCTCTCGAGAAAATTGATGGGCCACAGAACTCGGTCATCCATTGATGAACTAATACAACGACTGGTGTCAGCACAGGGTCCGCCTGAATAAAGAACGGGCAGTAAACCACGTGGGGACACGGTCACAGTCCTTGGCGATTCACCAATAATAAGGTCTTGGTGAACAGCAGAGAGAACGAGAGGCCAATGGGAGAAGCCCTGGTCCCTCACCTTTGCCAGTGGGGAGGAAATCAACTCTGAGAATGGGGACAGGCAGGAGCAGTGGGGAGGGTGGAGAAGCCGGGGTGAACTCGTGGGGGTCCTCTCCTTGCTGGCACGTGGAGGGGCACCAGGTGATTGTGCCAAGCCCCTGTGAGACTGGAGGGGCTGCATTAAGTCCCCGTGGCTGCTGCGATTCCAGACCCCAGCCTCGGAGGGGACCTGAAGAGAAGGAGACTGGTGGAGGGGCCACCAGTTATCAGGGCCCCTGGGCCCATCCAGGTGAGGAGGGATGAGGCAACAGTTCACCTGAGGAGCAGGTGGGGTTAGGGAGAGGGAGGCGTCCAGGTGGACTTCCTGGTGGCAGCTCAGGTGGGGAGGAGAATTAGAAAAGAGACCAGGAGCCTGGGGGTCACACAAAAGAGGCAAATAGGGACTCCAGAGAGCTGGCGGGATCAGGACGCTGTTCTTTAAGGTGACATTAGTGATTGTGTAAGTGCTCAATGATACACACACACACACATACATGTGACACATACACACACGTCTCCACTTCTGTGTTGATGCATGTACATGCAGAGATACATTCATAGTGGGTATCTGTATCTTTATGTATGTTTACATGTATTCATAGACATGAACATATACACACCATACCCGTGTGCACATACACTCATAACATACACTCATCTCATTCCTTTACATGTATAGTTACTTTTTAACACAACATAAGGGGTAAGTTTTTATTCAAAACAATTTCTGGCTTACAAAATATTTCAAGAATAAAAGAGAATTCTAGTCTGTCTTGCAGCCATAGTCCCATATCTTCAACACGTTCCACATTTCCTGGTCACAGATCTCTTCCTACCTGAATCAATAGACGTCATTATTTTAAAATATTTATTTATTGATTTGTACAAAGGAAAATGGGGTGTAGACCAGGGGTGTGAAGGGGTGAGAGGATTCACCAGAGACAGAGTGGGGAGCAAAACAGACAGATCTACTGAAATGCACCACTGAGGGGAGACAGGAGAGCTCTGGGGCGCCATATGGGTTACCTCCCCTGGCCGGGCATGGAACTCAGGCCACAGAGGTGATGGCACTGAGACTTAACCCCTAGGCTACCAGGGAGACCCCTACACCTGATTTTTTGATCAACACAATTCACTGGAACCACTTCACAATTCATATTCACTAAAACTCAACATCAGTTTACATTGTTTCAAAGTAAAATCTACATGCAATGAAACACTCCATTCCTCAGGATACTATGGTGAGTTTTGACCAATAATGAATTCTGAGCAAGACAGATTTTCCATCACCCCAGAATGTTCCCTCAAGTCCCTGTTGGTCCCACCGTGAAAGGCAGAGGTGGGGAGGCCTAAGCACCCTAAGCCCACAAGGACACCACAGCACAGATGGGTAGGGCTGACCTCCCTGGACTCGCTGCAACCCAGAGGTACTCAGGCCTCTGTCAGCTGCTGCAGCAGACACAGGGACGCATACAGGGCAGACAGGGGCTCCTTGGCTTCCAGATCCCAGGTGGACCTGGGGTTATTCAGCTCCATCCTCAGCCCACACTCCTGCAGCAGCCCATAGGTGATGGCCACACCCTCATCTTGCAGGAGGGCAAGGAGTTGGGGGTCAAGGGTGAAGGGAATCCACCAGGGGTACTTGAAGTTGGGCTCCAGGATGCTCCGTACCTAGAAGTAATGGCATAAGGGGTCACGGGTCAGCCTTTGAGCAGAGAAGAGGAAAACTTCTGTCCCAACATTGAGGACTGACACAGGGTGATGGAGGAAAGAAAGTTCTGGTTATGGGGACAGGACTCCATTCTGCTCCTGTCTTGTGCTCAGTGTGATTTGCATACAAGTTACTGGCAATTACTGCTCATTATTTTTGGGTTGCTAACTGGTGAGACTAACATACTAACACAACAAAGGTATTAGGAATTGTAGGTGCGTGTACATGTGTGCAGTGTGTGAATAAATGTATAATCTATACACTCCTATGGACTCATATACATACATGCAGTAGAAAAAGCAATTTAAATGGGAACTATGTAAGTCAGGCGGGGGTATTCCTCAGAGCCCTGAGCTCCTAAACCTCTAGCCCTGTTTGACTGTTTTAGAACTCTGAGGGCCTCTGCAGTGGTTACCATGGAAACTGAGACCCGCACACCCACTCTGACTGCTCTCCAGAAGGACATGAGCAGGATTTCCCAGGGGCCACCCTGGGATGGGGTCTCCCCTCCCAGCAGAAACTGCATCATCTCTCTTTCCTCAGAGTCACTCTTTACTCTGCCTCCCTGCCACTGCCCCCTGGATGCCGGACCTTGGGGATTCCTCACCAGCTCCCGCTGATGGAGCAGGATCATCCTCTCCATGGACTGGGCCAGCAGAGCATGTTGGGTGTCACTCAGCACTGGGGACAGAGGGTGTTTGGGAAAACAGTAAGGAGTCAAATACCCCCCAACCGGGTGACCTAGGAAACCCCATGGGGGGCCCCCTGGTGGCCTAGGAGTTAAGTCTCAGGGTTATCACCACCATAGCACATGTTCCATCCCCAGCCAGGGAGATGACTCACATGGCGCAGCAGACCTCTCCTGTCTCGCCCGCTGCTCCCCTCAGCAGTGTATTTCAGTCAGTCTGCCTGTTCTGCTCCCCACTCTGTCTCTGGTGAATCCTCTCAGCCCTCTCCCCACACCTCTGGCCTGAACCCAAGCTCTTGTGTGCATAAATAAATAAAATCTTTTAAAAAATATACTTAACGAAAAAAAACCCAGAAGCAGAACTCCAGGCAGAAGTATAAAACCCACTAAGTTTCTATTAGTGCAAGTTCCTGTCCTCTGAGTCTTCCTTCTGCTTTGGGGATGGTCTCCAAGGTGCTACAGCACATAGTCCCGAGGGTGGGATTCTGAGGCTGGAGGCTGAACCCCCCACCCCAATGAGAAGGTGGATGAACTTGGGCTGGTCTGTCTAGGTTCAAGTTTCATGTTACTGAGTGGGGACCAATGTGAGAATAAAAACCATATTCATCAAAGCACTTTGGAGAGGGGGCAGCTAACAAAGTCCTTTATGGGGTTCTGGGGACCACCTGAGGCTCTCCCACAGCCCCTTAAATCTCTCTCACCCATTACGGCTTCAAGCAGGTAAAAGATGAGGTACACTGCGTCAACATGTGGGCACCCTGGGATCGTTCCCAGCTCATCCAGGATGGTGGCACCAGGACCACTCATATGACCCAAGGGCTTCACCTGGTCAAGCTGCAAAAGGCAAGGAGGAGGAGGAGGAGGAGGAGGATGATACTGTCATATAATTTTGCCTATAAGTTATGATCTGTAAGTTATTAACCAAAAGTTAGGTTAATGTCTTTCTCTACCCCCAAGGGATACCGAGAACCTGCACTATGTGGGCAGCATAACCCTGGCCCTCTCATCCCCCTACTATTACTCCCAGTCTCCTTCCCCATGTCTCCTTCTGGGCAGCCATATCTCCTAAACACACACCATTTGCAGGTTTGATCAGCCTCAGAGAGCTGTGGGGCCCCCTCACCGTGTCCATGAGGGCCTCCAGAGCCTGTCGGTCCCCCAGCATAGCTTGGATATTAACAAATATGATGCCCTGAATGTTCCTTGACAGCAAATCCACCATCTCCACTCTGCGGGAAATCTCTTCTTTCATGCACTCAAAATCTGTCATCCAGGACATGGAAATAACTGTTAGGTTAGAACACTTCTGGGATAATCCTGTCCCCATTAATGTGAGCGAAACTCATCTGTTTTCAAGCTGCTACAAAAAGCATCTCTGTGGGTGATGTGTTTGAGCTCCAGGGTAGAGGTGTCAAACTAGGCTAGAAAGATGAGGATACAGCTGAAATGAGGGGGGCAGACACTGGGAGCAGAGATGGAGAATCTTAAAGGTGTCTTGGGATATGTAAGAAATGTGCAGGGACTCCTTTGTGGGATCTTTCTGGAATGATGAGGATTCCAGCCTTGGGCTGTAGAGATGAGAGTCTTCCCTGATCTGGGCTCAGTTTCCACATCTAAAATGAAGCTGTGGTGCTTTCCTGGTGGTGCAAGGGGGTAAGCACAGCACTGTGAAGCTTTCCACAGCCTCTGCAGCATGAGTACCATCCCTGGTCGGCCAGAGAGCTACCCACATGGCACAGCAGACCTCTCCTGACTCACCCACTGCTCCCCTCAGCAGTGTATTTCAGTAGATGCGCCTGTTCTGCTCCCTGCTCTGTCTCTGGTGAATCTACTCACCCTACACACACACCTATGGCCTCTACCCCAGTTCCTGTATGCATAAATATTTAGAAACTTAAAATAAAATAAATAAAATGAGGCTGTGGTGACAATCACAGGGTGTCAAGTATGTGAAGCACATGCAGCAGTAACAGGCAGACACTGTACCCTGTATAGATCACACTTGTGTCTGTGTCTTCTGAGTCTAGAAGGAATTAACTTCTCCCAAGGCACCTCCTCCTGCCCCCTCTTCCACACCCTCAGCCCCCAGGAGCCCCCTGGGCAGAGTGCTGGGCCAGGCCCAGGGCAGTGGTGCCAAAGGCAGGGCCAACTGCTGGGCGCCACTGATTGTGGCAGGAAGGATTCCTCCCCCAACCCCACCACACACTCACCTATCGGGGGGGATGGGACCATTAAGATACTGTAGTTCTGGAAAAGAAATTAAATTCCCAGCCCAAGAATTAGTTCAAAGATACTAGGTTTTTCTGCTCTTCTGCCCCTGCTTCCCCACCCCTCCTCTCTACCTGCTGCTGCCCATCACCCAGGGGTCCAGATCCCAGGGCCCTGGGAAGGAGCCCACTGCAAGCATGTGGGGGTTCTGTTGTGCAGAGTTGAATCCTGGGGGTTCAGATCCCACTCTCCTGGCACAAAAACAACTAACCCCACCCCTCTGGCCTGTACCCCAGTACTTGTATGCATAAATAAATAAAATATTTTTTAAAAATTGCTTACCTAATGAAAGTTTATTAATATTCACTGGAAAGATAAAAAAGAAGGGATCACTCACCAAGAGTTAGTCACAGAAACACACACACAGGTGACATCCCACTGTTAAGCAGGAAAAGCTCATTTTTTATATGTTTTCCAAGGTTCTGTTAGTGAAAATAAGGGAGCTGGCAGCTGTGCAGGAGGGGCTGGTTAACTGTGGGGAGAGGACTGAGCCCCTGAGGCTCTGGTGAGCACCCTAATTATCTCTGGGCTCACAGGGTCAAGGTCAAGTCAAACATACCTAGTGGGAACTCACCTTCTGGAAAGGTTTTCAGTTTACCATCTGAGTCATCAAGAACATCTGAAAGGAGAAGAAACCAGGTCACCCTGCTGGAGGCTTCCCCACCCCCACCCACAGCTCAGCCCTCATCCTGCAGGCAGCATGGCAGCTCTTCCCAAAGGGACTGGGCACCCCTCGATCAGAGGCATTGGGGTGCTTCTCACAACTCAGAACCCCTGACCTCACTCTGGACCTTCTGGGTCTGACGCTGAGAAGACCTTGGGATCTGCACCCACAGGTGCTACTTGCTCCACCAGAGACCTGCCTGTGGGGAGAGGGCCTGCTCCCCCCAACCCCTTGCAGGGCTGCCCCCTCTGCCGGGTCTCTCTGACCTGAGTCTCCTCCCTCATGTCGTCCTCCGAACCAGCCAGCTTCCCGGGTGGCTTCAAGGCCCACACATAGAAATGTCCAGAGGCCTGAGACTTGCCTCCACCAAAGAGAAAGTGATCACAAAGAATGGAGCCCACGAAGGACACAGAATGGAGACAGCCCAGGTGAGGAGCCCCAGAAATCAGTGTCCAGCATCCAGGGAGAGGAGCGTCCAAGCAGGCCCTGCCAAGACGTGATCTCCAGGGTGAACTGCAGCGGGTGGAGGCAGCGAGGCCGGGAGGGGAGACACAGAGTGTGGAGATTCCTTATGGACTTGGCTGTGAGGGGAAGTGGCTGGCGGGAGGGGGATAACTGGAGGGCCCTTGGGTGAGGGGCTGTGAGAAGGCAGGAGCCTGAGCCCCTGATCAGGTCCTGGGGAGGCTGCAGGAGGCTGGGGGCGGAGACCGCTCTGTGCCAGACACTCCTCTCTAACTCCCCCCACTCTGCAGAGCAGGTCTCACTTCCGAGTTACAGAGAAGACGGCCCCAGAGAGTCTGATGTTCTCCACAGTCACACAGCAAATATTTGCAAATTACTGAACTGGCTGCACTTTATTTTCCTCTCTGATCTCTTGTAGGGATGAAATCAGATCAGTGAGCCGGTGTCTGCCTCCCCTGCACATGGTAAAGGCTCCTTCCCTTGCTCATCAGCATGAAGCTGTGCAACAGGCAACAGGCCCCACCCCCTCGTGGACTGTCCATGCTGCAGCGCTGCTGTGGGGGCCTTTAGCTTCTCTCAGCTCATTCCCCACACTTAAGAAGCAGTGTTTTTGAAGATTAGGCATCTTCCACAGCCCTCCCTGAAGACATGGCACTTTGTCATACGCCATGACCATAAAGCACAATCATCTCCCGCTGCCTCTGCAGGGGTCTCTGACCTCCTCTAAATGGGGGACACCATCCTCGTCTCTAGCCCTCAGGAGGGCCTTGCTCTGGGGAGGGCTGGACTTTCCCCAGAAGCAGAAGACACTGACCCTGCAAGCCTGGAGAGTTCAAGATCTTTCTATCCAATGTCACTTATGGGGGGTAACTGACAGCAGGACCTGACCCTGACCAGATGCTGCAATTAAATTTCTCTAGAGGGGAGTGGGGGGCGGGGATGCACTTCCCCTCATCTCTGAGGAATCTGCCCCCAGCTGCATCAGGCTGACCTGAAGATGGGACCTACATGAGGGAATGGAGAGTCCAAGGAATGTGAGCTGGTGGGTTTGCAGCCTTCATGTCACCCAGATTGCACACTTTGTTTTTGATGCAAACGGTTCACACATGTGGGTCAGAACCCAAGTGAGTGTGTTGGGGACTGTCCATTTCAGGCTAATGAAGGAGGAAGAGATTCAGGTAAAATCCTGCCTATGTGGTTATGGCTGTACAACGCCTGTGATTCTGCTGATGTCTTGCAGGCTTTCACTTAGGGGCTGTGGGTAACCCCATAGAGGGAGGATCCTGGGGCTCCCCAGTTGAGCTACTAAAAAAAAGTCACATTGAAGCATCAGAGATGGTCTGCCCAAGGGCAACCTTGCCCAGTGCCAATCACAACCCCCTGCTGAGCACCCGTTTTTCATTCTTCACACAGTCTCAGTCTCCCTGCAACAACAGTTCATCAGGCCATCCTTGAAGGGGGCCCGATGTGTGTGCTCCAGACACTTAGTAAAGGGTGCTGACAGGCAGCCAAGTCAGGTTTCATGTGGATGATCTTTTCCTCTCGTTTCTCTTTCCAGCAGAAACACACCCCACCCCTTGGAACATATGCATCCCTCAACTTCTACTTACCCCAACCATCCTCCTCAAACTGCAGCAGCTTCTTCTTGTAGGCCATCACCATGCCCTTCTGTAGACTCAGCACCAGCTCACTCTGCTTTTGGTACTTGCCTTTTCCTTCACCCTGGGGGCAGAAGCCCAGGAACATGGTCTAATATACACATGGTTTTGAAAGTCAAGTAAATCTGGAAAGGAGGCTGGAAGTCATCATCCACCCTAAAAACAAGCAAAAACCTAAAGAAAGAAAGTCACCCAACAACTGTTCCGAGATCTGTCCGGAGAGTAGTTCACATCGCAGAGAATCCCAATGTCCTCAAAATTGGAGAGAGCGAACAGTAGGGGAAGAAGATCACAATTTACCAGAGTAAAAACCTCCATGTGAACCATGGTCAGGGTAAAACTCCCATTCATTGCTGGTCAGAATGCAAAATGGTGCATCCACCCTGGAAGACAGTGTGGCGATTCCTTGCAAAACAAAGCATACTGCTCTCACCATAAAATCTAGCATGTTCTTTATTAGTTACTAAAAAGTTATTGAAAATTTGCCTCTCAAAAACCACCACATGGATGTCTAGAATCAGCTTTACTCATAAGTGCCAAAACTTGGAAGCAACCAAAATGTCCTACAATAGGTGGATGATAAACAGTGGTGTATCCAGACCCTGGAATATTATTCACCATTAAACACATAAACCATCAAGGCATGGGGGACTTTTAATACATTTCATTGCATGAAAGAAATCAAAATAAAAATAAGTTCTGTATGATTTAATTAACTGCATGACATTCGGAAAAGGTAACACTGTGGAGACAGTGTAAAATGAGTGGTTGTTGGGGAGGAGAGAAGATACTGCTTTACAGTTATGGCTCTACTTGTGTTATAATGTCAAACTTATGTGTCTTTATACTGTATATCTATTAACAGTTTTATGGTTGTAATTAAATTTTATGCTTTTGACATTTAGTTCTATGCCAGAAATAAAGATGATGTAGGTACCAACATTATATTTCAGCATTACAGAATTCTGTATCTGTCTATATATTTACCTTTAAAATAAAATTCTTTATTTCTTTTTCTTTTTAAAGGAAAATTTTCTAGATATAATGTGCATGGTTGGCAGTTTTTTATTCCTTTCAGCACTTCCCCTATGTCACCCCACTTCCTTCTGGTTCAAGGTTTCTTCTGAGAAGTCCACTATGATTACTTGATAGACAATTCTCCCATGCTCTTGTGGTCTTACTAAACACTGTTAGTTACTTTTAATATGCTTTTTATTCCTCATGATTTAGATTAGTACATCAGTTCTCTCCTCAAAGTGAAAAAGAAAATAGTATATAGTTTGAAATTATTTAAAACTGTTTTTCACTAAAATATTGGCCTCTTTAACATATAGTTATCTAGAAGGAACATGATTTCATTTTTTTCTTTATTCAGGATTTCCCTGTATTTTTCAGTAAAATATTTCCATATAGATCCATTTATTTCTGAAAGAAGTTACATCTAGATATACGTAACTAGAGTTGGTAAGTAAATGGGACTTTCTATACTTCACATTATATATACTATTGGTTTATTGAACATCTCAATTCTTCATCGTTTCCCCCCTCAAAAAAAAGTTTAGTAAATAAAAGTGATAATATCCGTGATTATTTTCTAACTTACGCTTCCAGAAATTTTGCCAAAAAATTACCATATTGAATGAGGCTATCTATTGTTTTGAGACAGGGTATCATATATCCATTACCAATCTTAAAATGCTCTTGAATACATGGATACATTCGTAATTGAAAGATCTAGATTATACAATTTTAAAGATATAAAATAAAGAATGTGCTATTAGATATCTGTGTGCTAAGTATCCACTGAGTTTATCACATTGTCTTTCTTTTTGACCTTGATAAGATGCCAAAATACCACTCCTAGGCATTTATCCAGAGAATATGAAAGCACTAGTATGAAAATTTTTTTGCACCCCTATGCTCACAGGGTGAACCTAGATGCCCACCTAAATGGAAACCACCTAAATGCCCATCACTGGATGAGTGGATCAAGAAGTTGTAGTAGACACACTCAAAGGAATACTACTCAGCTCTAAAAAGATGAAAACTTGCATTTTATTGCAACATGGGTGCAACTCAAGGTGATTGCCCTAAGCAAGTAAGTCAGAAAGGAAAAAACATTTACCAAATAGTGTTGCTCATATGAGGAATATGAACAACCAAAGCAAACATGACAATATTCAGTAAAAATGACTCTTAAAAATATGGTGGTTGTGGGCCTCCCCTGGTGGCACAGCGGTTGAGCGCTGGGCTGCGAAGCTGCCCGCAGCCTCTGTAGCACCGGTTTGATCCCCGGTCACCGGCGAGGGTCCCACATGGCGCGCAGACCTCTCCTGCCGCCCGCTGCTCCCCTCAGCAGTGTGCTTCAGTCCTTCTGCCTGCTCTGTTCCCCGCTCTGTCTCTGGTGAATTCTCTCACCCTCCTGTGCTTCTGACTGTACCCAGTGCTTGTATAAATAAATAAATAAATCTTAAAAAAAATTGGTGGTTGTGGAGAATTGGGGTGGGATGAGGAGAGAGGAGGAAAAGGCAGAGGAGGTCAATTTGATAGTGGGATGGCACTAGAACTTTGCTGGCAGGTGCTGTAAGGCATAAACACACTTGAAATATGAAGCTGACCTCCTGGAATTTATACAGTTTGTAACTAATGATAAATCAACCTTTTTTTAATGATCTGGGTGAAGCTTCTTCACACTCCTCTAGGGAAAAATCACTGAACTTAGGAAAGTTGTTCACAACCGGGGATTTTATTTCTTTACTTTCTAAATCTGGTAAGTGAGCACAAAATACCCAAAAATCATATGTCCTGCAAAATAACATTATAAAATAAAAATCATTTGATTATTAATATCATGTCAAAGTATTATAGGTGGTCATTGTGATCACTAGGTATATTATGTGTGCTTTAATATATAAATCACATTCCTTAAGTCTTTTCACAACATGTAGCAACTTTGACCACCGCAGTTTGGAGACGGTGGCCCTCATTTCTTCCAGCATGAAACTGAACATGTGTACAATAGAGGAACCCCGCCTTTAGATTCACCAGGATCCAACACAATCCAAACGTAAAATATAATATATCACTATTAGATCTGCTTCCTATTGGTCATCACTGAATGGTCCCACTGGGGAAGCACCAAGCATGAGGCTGTTAGGACGCGGTCTCCAGCCAGGATAAGGCCCTGCACATGGCGGGTGGAAATAGCAACCTGCACCTTCTAACCCCCAGAGGCAGAGGCTGAGTGGTCTCAGGCCGTAGGGAGCGAGGCTGGGCTGGCTGTGCTCGCGGAGCTCCCACCCCCCCCACCCCCCCACCCCCCCCACCCCCCCCCACCCCCCCACCCCCCCCACCCCCCCCCCCCCCCCCCCCGACGCCAGTACCTTGATAGAATTCCAAAGGGAGGAGACACCTCCAGAAACACCCCCACTGCTGATGTCTCGCAGCACAGGGCTGTTGAGCAGCTCCACCGTCTTTGTCACCACACAGAGGTTCTTCCCTGATCTCCGGTATTGGTTCATGAAGTGGGGCAGCGGTTTCAACAGTTTCCTGGAGATAAGGGAGGAGAAGGATCAGAGAGAAAGCGATGCCTCCTCACATGACCCTGGATTGGGCTCCTCTTCAAGACCTGGGAGACTGCAGACTTTACATTCTCACCGTTGAGCCCTCAAAGGGCAGGAAAATATGGGCTTATGGCTTTGAGCTACAGAGTAACACAGAACAGCCTCAGACAGGCACAGTGGAGAGGCCCCGTTCTCTGGTGGGGTAAAGGAAACAGCAGAGTCTGGTCTTAATAGAGAAACATACGAATGTTCCCGAGTTAGACGGTGTGGTTAGGGGCAGGTTATAGATCCCAGCACGGGGCCTCTCTCCAGTGAGGCTGGAGTAGCCGCACCCTGGGGCTGAGGACAGTCCTCAGGGGTGTGACCGCCTCGCCAGGAGCCACGTCAGCACCATCAGGGGGAGCGTGGAGCTGCTAAGTACTGTTAGTTTAATGAATGAATGAATGAGTAAATATCCAAAAAAACAGGCAGCACAGGATGTTCATTTCTTCGTTTTGAGTCTCAACAACAAATCCTGCAAATGCCTGTTTGCCAACAGCAGAGCACACCCCAGGGCTCTGCGGACACATCCCCTCCTTCTCCCATGGCCTCACCTCTTTCTGAGGTCTTCTAATTTCGGTTCTAAGATTTCAACAAATTGATACCAGAGGGAGGATTCTTGCAACTGAGAAAATTCCACCCCAACATTTGCCTCTGCCACAGCATCCACAGCCACGTCAATCTCCACTCCCCGGAGCCTAGTGTCACTGAATTGCAATGGTCCTTCCACATGCTTATCAAGAGGAGAAAAGGTGGGCTTAGATTGAGTCAAAAATTAACTCTAGAGGGCCTCCCTGGTGGCGCAAGGGGTTAAGCACTGCACTATGAAGCAATCCAGCCAGCCTAGGATGGCCACATGGCGCACCCGACTTCGCCCATCTTGCCCGCTGTTCCCCTCAGCAGTGTGTTTCAGTCAGTCTGCCTGTCCTGTTCCCTACTCTGTCTCTAGTGGATCCTCTCACCCCCCACATCTCTGTATGCATAAATGCCCCAGCTCTTGTATGCATAAATAAATAAATCTTTTTTTTGTAAATTTATTTTTTTTAAAGATTTATTTATTCATTGATTGATTTATACATACATACATACAAGCTCTGGGTACAGTCAGAAGCGCTGGAGGGTGAGAGAATTCACCAGAGCCAGAGCGGGGAGCAGCGCAGGCAGAAGGACCGAAGGACACTGCTGAGGGGAGCAGCGGGCGGCAGGAGAGGTCTGTGCGCCATGTGGGACCCTCTTCTGGTGGCCGGGGAGCAGCTGGGGATGGAACCGGCGCTGCAGAGGCTGCGGGCAGCTTCGCAACCCAGCGCTCAACCCCTGCGCTACCGGGGAGGCCCAATAAATAAATCTTTTTAAAAAAAATTAACTCTAGACCAAATGGAGAACTGAACGGAAATGGAATCTTCCTACACATTCAAAGTCTCCATTGAGCAGTTAATGATTAAATTAATGATTAAGTGTAAACTACCCCCGAGAGGAAGTATTTGACACACAAGGGTCCTGTAACAGCAAGAACGACCTGATGTAAATCTCTGGGGATGTGACCTGGGCCCTGGTCCAGGAGACACACAGCATCACCCACCCAGCCCGTCACTCCTCTGCAACAGGACAGCATCAGCCCCAGAGGCTGCACACTGTGCAGAATGTAGTTATTTTAAAGCCAGCATGACTTGAACAATGACGCTAGTTCCACTGACTCCCAGGCATGGAACTAGAGCAAATTCTTTTACAAACTTTCATTTGCTGTTATGTAAAATGGGGATACTATTCCAGCTCAAGAGGCTGTGGGAATTATGAAATGAATGATTGTATGCCTTGCTCAATAATTAGGAACTTCTCAAGCACTCAGAGCTCAAGTCCTTTGCCTGTAGGCAAGGCTGATGCTAGGATCAAACCTTGAGGATAGCTCATAATTGGTGGGAAGCTGTGCCACCTCTATCTTACAACAGTAATTTTCAAATTTGCCTGCTATGCTGTGATTGATTGACAATACCTGATAATGAAGAACTTGATTCCAGAATATCCAAGAGGGAGAAAGGAAGTGGCCTATAGCCTTTCTTCCAAAAAGTTGAGATACGCTTATCGTCCACTAAAACAGAATACAGTTTCACACTGGAGGCATATTCCACACATTTGACATGCTCCATTTCATTGTCTCCAATTTCTTTTTTCATAATCTTGATAAAATTCAAAAAACTGGGCATGTTCTAGGAGCAGATAGAAAATGGTTACAGAAATCATTTGAGGCTTATAAATGAGATTAAATAGGTAATTTTGTGTATTTAAGAGAGTTACAGTGATTTTAAAATACTACAGAAAGATTTAGGCCTTTGTATACCTGCACAATCCAGTGGATGCAAATGCAAATGATGTCCATGTTAGTAGCTGCAATGGGCCCTGAGTCCCAAGTCAAACAATATCTAGGATTCACTACAGAGTCCCTGCTGTACTCAGAAGTGAATCCCACAAGTTTTCAGACTCCAGCACCTCCCAACAAATCAGTGCCCAGCTCGACCTCACAGGGTCGGCTCTACTTCAGAAAACGTCAGCAACCCCAGGTGAGAATCCCCTTTTCTAGGCTTATTTGCCAGCTCTTTGGGAGAGGACAGAGGCCTGAGTCACAACCCAGCTGCAGGAGGAAGTGCATCCCTTTCTGCGCTCAGCTCATAGGGTCTCCTATAGCAAGGATCTCAGCAACTCTCTGCCCTCCTACTCACAGTAACAGGCCCTGACCCACTGAGGTTCCAGAAATCAGTGTACTAACACAGCCCTCTCCCCTACAAGCCTCCCAGCCACCAGAACAAGCCAAGAGTGCTTTGCGGGAGGCTCCAGCAGCACCTCAGATCCTACAGACCCCAGTAGCTGTGCCACCATAAATGAAACACTCAGAACAGTGCAGGAGAAGGAATCACACACAACAGAGGCCAAATACAACAGAACGAACCCAAAGCAACAGTGGGGAGAAGGATAAATACAAATGGCCACGCCAGCCTTGAGGGGAGCCGCACACCACAGAGAGAAAATCAAATCCAGAACCAACAACCCTGAAACAGAAGACCTCTTCTTCTGTCAGGTGAAGAATTTTAAATTACCATGATTAAGAAAGTCAAAGAACTCAAACAACACAATCAAAACTCAAAAAACCAAATCATATATATAAGAAGATGCAGAATAGAAAAAGAATACTGCGAGAAACATAATCAACAAAAGGAAGATAGACTGAAAGTTTAAACAAGAAAATAAAGGATTGCAGTGTGTAAAAAGGTCGGTAGAAATGTAAAAACTTCTTGAAAAAGCCATGGAAACAGAATAGATGGCACGGATAATGATCAGATACAAAAAGAAAGAGAGGGCAGGAGAGATATTAAGGAAAAAGAATTAAGAAACACTTCAAGAATTATCTCACACAGTGGAAAAGGAAATATATGAGTCACAGGAATCTCAGAAGGAGAAGAAAAGACAGTGGTGCTGAGAAGCTCTTCAAGGAAATAATTGAACAAAATATTCCAAAGTTGAAAAAGGAAATAAAAACAGACATACAGGAGGCTAGCAGGACATATATCACTATTAAAGAAAAAGCATAGCAAGACACAGAACAGTAAAGCTTCTAAGAATTCAAGACAAAGGAAAAATAATGAAGTTGACAATGAGAAGAAACAGAAATCCTATGAAGGAAACCCAATTAAGCTAAACCCAATTAAGAAACCCATAGTGTCTCTACAGAGACACTACGGTGGGGCTCCCTGGTGGCCTAGGGGTTAAGGATCAGCATTACAACTGCAAGGTCCTGAGTTCGATTACCAGTCACAGCACTGCCCCACATGATGCTACACCTCAGTTCTTCTAAGCAAAAATAAATAAATAAATAAAATCTTTAAAAAAGAGAGAGAGAAACACTATGGGCAAAAAAAGAATGGGGACCTCCCTGGTGGCACAAGAGGTTGGGCGCAGCGCGGTGAAGGTGACCATGGCCTCTGCAGCTGAGTTTGATCTCCCTGGCTGGCCAGGGAGCTACCCACATGGTGCAGCAGACCTCTCCTGACTCGCCTGCTGCTCCCCTCAGAAGTGCATTTCAGTCAGTCGGCCTGTTCTTCTCCCTAGTCTGTCTCTGATAAATCCTCTCATCCCCACACCTCCAGCCTGTACCCCAGTTTTTTTTAAAAAATCAAAAAAAAAAAAAGGAAAGAAAAGAATGGAGTGACATACTCAAAAAACTCCAGAGCAAAAAAAAAGCAATTTAAAAATGCTTCATCCTGCAAAAGTATCTTTCCTATATGAGGAAAACATAAGGACCTTCTCAGGATATGAAAATCTTCAGAAATTTGCTACTGCTAAACCCTCAGTGCAAGAAATACTACAAGAAGACTTAGAATCAAAACCAACAACTAACGAACATGAAGAACTGAACAAGGTATTGAGCAGAACCACAAAATGATGAACCAAATGGCAGAACAGACTTCCACATCAGCAATCACCCTAAAAATGAATGGACAAAACTCACCAATAAAAAGACCCAGGGTAGCATGTTGATTAGAAAACAGAACCCAACCTTCTGCCATCCCCAGAAAACAACTCTAAGTGCCAAGGATAAGCATCGATGGAAAGTAGAGGGCTGGACAACAATTCTACAAGCAAATGGACCCCCAACAAGGCAGGGGCAGCCGTACTTACATCAGAGAAAATAGACGTCAAACTAAGAAGGTGACCAGAGACACTGATGGACACGATATGTTGATCAAGGGACAGTATTGATGTGTCTCACCACTCACCAAATGAAGGCGCACCAGCATACATTAGACAATAATGTTCAATCTGAAAACAGATTTTGGAGAAAATACATATGTGGCAGGAGACTTCAACACCCCACTCTCACCAATGGACAGATCTACAAACACAAATAAACAAGGACACAGACCTCCCTGGTGGTACAGGGGTTAGAGTCTCAGATCTATCAAGCTATCATCAGCCACTGAGGCATGAGTTTGATCCCCAGCCAGGGAGGAGACCCACATGGCATAGCAGACCTCTCCTGTCTCCCCGATGCTCCCCTCAGCAGTGTATTTCAGTAGATCTGCCTCTTCTGCTCCCCACTCTGTCTCTGGTGAATCCTCTCACCCCCTCACCTCTGGCCTACACCCCAGTTCTTGTATGCATAAATAAATAAAAATTAATCTTCCATAAAATAAAAAAGGACACAATCACCCTAAACAAAGATGAAGACCTCATGGGCCTAACACACAACCTCAGGACACTTTACCCAAAAAATAAACATACACATTTTTCTCAAGTACATAAAGACATTATTCAGGATAGACCATGTACGTGGCTCACAGGACAAATATATGAAGATTGAAATCCTACCAACTAACTTCTCTGACCACAAAGGCATCAAGCTAGAAGGCAACTAGGAAAGACAGCAAAAAACCACCTCAAAACGTGGAGGTTGAACAACACAATACTGAAAGGCCACTAGATCAATGAGGAAATTAAAGAATAAATTTAAAATTACTTTGACAAAAAAAAGGCGATGAGGCAACAGCTTTCCAGAATAGATGGGACACAGCAAAAGCAGTAGTAAGAGGAAAGAGTATAGCACTACGGACCCACGTCAAGAAAGAAGAAAGAAACAAAAACAACAACCTAATTTCCCATCTCCAAGAACTAGAAAAAGATTACCAAAAGACCCAAAGTCAATGGAAGGAAGGAAATGAATATTAAAGCAAAATAAATGAAATAGAAATAAAAAGACAATCAAAAAAATAATGAAACCAAGAGATGATTGGTTGAAAAAATAAACAATAATGGACAATCCTCCAGCTGGGCTCCCAGAGGAAAAAGAGGGAGATGAGTCAGATAAATGTGATCAAAAATGAAAGAGGAGA